ATATGGGTGTCAATCTCATTGAAGCTACCACAGGAAGCCCCATATGTAGTACTTAAGCATTAACCATAGGAACCCTTCTCTCTCTAATGTGCTATTTTATTAATTTAGATTCATATTCTAGTTCAAAAAATACTTAGAATAAATATAAGTTATTCCATTATTTGAATAGGGCTACTCCCAACATACTGCATATGTTTCCAAGAAACATATTATTTTTAAAAATATTATCTCCTAAAATATTATAGATAAATTTACATTCACAGCAACCAGAATTAAAAGTGCTTATTGGTACAGACATTCATTAACATCAGGTATTTCAGTTTTATAAATATTTATAAAAGACCATTTATATCAAACATCCCAACAGAATAAAAATTAGTTAACAAAAATTAGTGTAACTGTCTATGTTTGAGGATAGTATGGTAGTCTAGTCAGGATTTTCACAAACAGTGATAACAAGTTGATGTTAATGTGCTAGCTAGTTTTGTTTAACTGACATAAGCCAGAGTCATTTGGAGGAAGGGACTCATATTGACAAAATGTCTCATCTCAATGACATTTGCTTGCAGAAAAATATGTAGAACATTTCACTGATTAATGATTGATATGGATGAACCCAGTTCACTGAGGACAGTGTTACCCCAGGGTGGGTGTAAGAAAGCACTCTAAGAAATCCATAAGTAGAAAGCCAATAGCAGCACTCTTCCATGGCCTCTGAATCAGTTCCTATCTCCAACACAGGAGGTTCAACCCCTGACCTTATGCCCTGACAGCTTCCTTGAAGCTGCCCCTCCTCGCTTCCTCCTCCAAGCCCCTTAAATATAGTTTGGAAAGAATAAAATTTTGTCACCTTGATCAGATACCTATCTTGGTGTCCTTTCCTGTATCTCCTGTCCCCAAGGGTCGGAGCACTGAGTCAGCTGTCATCATGTAGCAGGCAAAGGAGCTGCAGGTCTGGTAAACCAAGACCACATGGAAATACATGGATTAGTAGTTAAGGATTAATAATTAAGTCAGAGCTAGCCAATAAGAAACCATAGCCAATGGCCAACAGCTTTATAATTAATATAAGTCTTTGTGTGCTTATTTGGGAGCTCCAAGGGCAGTGGTGAGACCTGCCCAGCCTAGAAAACTCATGTTACAAAGTGGTGCCCTCAATGTGCAGCATGAATTTTAACCTGACGAAAGCTTATAAAGGGATTTTAGAAACAAAATAACAGAGACCAGCACAGCTTCTTGGTAGCAGCATTTTTCTCGGGTAGGCTCAGTTTTGCGAGAGACTCCCACAGCTCCTTTAAGGGAGGTTTCCTGACTCAGAATAAGCAGGAAAAACTGCAAGGCTCTTTTAAGAGGCCCTGCTAACAGTTGAATGGTGTGTACAAGCAGCTGGCAGTGGCAGTTACCACATCTCCAAGCTGGCTGCATGCTGCTTGATGGCAGCATAGACCAAGGTGGTGAATGCAGCTCTCAGTGCTGGTGATAAACAGACCCCCACCATTTTGGAAAGACAGTGACTTAAGCACTATTGGCTTTAATTTTAGCAATGCTGTTTAGCAGATAAAAGACTTGTGGCCAGAAAAAGATAGAGATACACAGTAAAGACAGATTTTAATGAAGAAAAATCTCTAAAGGTTTTTACACTTTGCTTAAAATATACATAGGTTTGTGAGAGAGAAGAAACAGGATAAAGTAATTTAAAAAAAGAAAAGAAATATAGTAGCTGGGTGTGGTGTGGTGGCACACACTTTTAATCTGAGCACCTGGGAGGCAAAAGCAAGCAAATCTCTGTGATTTCAAGGCCAGCCTACTGTACAGAGAGACTTCAATGGCAGCTAAAGTTATGTAGAGAAACCCTGTCTCAAAAAACTGGAAAAATAAAAGAAACATATATATATATATATATATATATATATATATATATATATATGATGGAAAATACACAGAGAGTCTGGATACTGTTATGCTGTTTGTTGTCATTGAGTTGTTTGATTGCTGAGGAAATAGCAACAACTGCTAAAAGAAATGTTGCTAGATTAATCCAATTTACATATTTTAAAAATGCTTTGATTTCAAAATTTAAGTTCAAGGACATGTTACTTTGGAAAAGAGGCTTTCTTTTTATTTCCACAGAAGATGAAAAGCTGTGGATTCCTCCCAGACTAACAGGGTTTGATCAAGCAAGATCCCCTGAAGCAATGGACCAGGTGATACAACATCCAAGACACCTGTGACAATGCAGCCTTGGAGAATGCTACAGCTAGGATTTGTCCAGGTTTCTGTTTTCTGATGATCCCCATGGTTTTCAGTGCCCCCAAACAACAGAAAACAGTTTGGAGAGAACGGCACTCACATTCCCAAATATTGTTCATAAATATTTGTTTTCATTTAATTGGGGCTGGTTATAAATGATTAATGATCACAACCAATCTATTTGATTAAAAATGATTGAGGAAATAGGATATAGAAATGAATACTTTGTATTGGAATAGGTTTTCATTTATTGATACAAATTTAAGAACAATTCTGTTATATTTTTCCTCTTGTTTAGATATTGTGTTTATACAGATCCTTTAAAATGTAATGCATAATTAAATACAGATTGTATACAGTCAACAATAATAGTAAAAACTTATAATTAGTGAGATTTTCTAGATATACAGAAATATGTTTGAGATGGATAGATAATCTTCATACCTTTCAAAGACTTTCAGAATATGGCTTTTAAGATGGTTTGGGGTTTTCTTGACAGTGAGACACAACTGCTCCTGGCAATACCAATTACATCTGAGAGGAAGATGGGCATAGAAGAAACTCGTTAGTGAGTTTGCTTTGGGTATAGTAAGACTAGCCATTTGGGCAATAAACTGCTCTTGCCTAGATTGTAGAAGTGTTGCTGTATAAACTGGACATACAGTACACACAGGAAAGTGACTGCTGAACTTGTAGAAGAAGATGGACAGTCCTAAAGTGTTCTTGCCTCATGGAAGAGTCTGCCAGACATTCCCACAGGACATAGAAAAGTGACTGACAAACAGCCAATGCAGGTGGGACAGTTTAAAATTTCCAACTTCACTGAAAAGTCTGCCAGACACACTCTGATCTATAGGCTGAAGATGGATGCCCCAAACTTGCAGAGGAACTTTGTGTGACTGTCTAGGCAGTGAGATGCTCTCTGTCAATTCTGTAGTTTATATATTATCCTTCTGAGGGCTTTGATGGAGTTTAAGACAGATAATTATGTTATAGTTTTACTTAGTTATGATTAAAGATAAGTTACATATAAGACTTAGATTCACAAAGATAGGATAGATGATAGAATATTTTCTTTAAATCTTGCTAAGTGTTCATGGACTAAATGTTGTAGCTATGGTTCTTATTTCATAACTGGTTTGTTACATATAATTTTACTACATTAAAGTTAAAACCCTTCTTTTTATTTAGACAGAAAAGAGGAGATGATGGGGAATGTTCTTCTGTGTATATATTTGTCTTATTGGATGATGAATAATACACTGATTGGCCAGGCAGGATGATAGATAGGACTAGGATATGAGGAGGATTCTGGGAAGTATAGGTGGAAAGGAGTCATTATGAGATCCCAGGAAGTGATGTAGCTGGGCAGAAACTGCCACTAGCTAACCATAGATGTCTGGAGGTCTGTACAGACTGGTAGGAAGTAGCATAGCTGAGCTGAATCAGAAAGTAAGCAGGAACAAACAGGGAATCACCCTCTTCTCTTGGGAGATGCTGAGCCAACCATCATCATGTAGCAGGCAAAGGAGTTGCAGGTCTGGTAAGCCAAGACCTCATGGAAATATGTGGATTAGTAGACATGGATTAATAATTAAGTAAGAGCTAGCCAATAAGAAACCATAGCCAATGGCCAACAGCTTTATAATTAATATACGTCTTTGTGTACTTATTTGGGGCTCCAAGTGTGGTGGTGGGACCTGCTGGGCCAAGAAAACTCATGTTACAAAATCCCTAAGACATACAACAATAAAATGATTGTTCACTAAGAATTATACATGTGGAAATCTTAGTACACTCACTTAGACAGTTGGCATTTGGCATTTGCCATTTTAAACCTCACTTTTAAAACTACACAGGAGATCATATGCTTAGCAGTAAACTTAACAAGAAAATTGAATTTCAATATCAGTATAAGGGAAATGATAGACTTACACAAACTAGAAGACAGTCCTTTCTTATAGAGGACAATTTAATGAAATATAAGTGTCAGATATCCTTAAGTTATAGTCAGTGTCATCTCAAAATAAAATTAAGAAGATAATGCTATGAATACAGAAGATATTCTAAATTCCATAAGTGGACATCAATATTCAAGAATAGCTGTGAAAACACTTCAAAATGCAAAATTTACAGCTCTACGGAACAAGCCAAATAACTTAGCATTGCACTGACATATAAACAGACAAGTAAATCTACTGAATAAACCTCAAAAGTAAACTCAAATTCGTGTGTAAATTTCACACGTGGTAAAAACAGCATCACAAAGCACAAGGCAGGAGACTTGTAATAAGTGATGTTCATGAAACTGGGTAGCCATCTGGAAAATACAAAATTAGATCACCATCTCACAGAATGTACTCAAAATGGATTAGTGATAAAATGTAAAAATTTGAAGCCATATGATTTCGAGAAGGAAGCAGGAATTTCTCTTTAAACTATATATGTCTTCCTAACAAGAATTTGCATTTTAAAAACCAAAAATAGATCAATTGATTTAACTGCACGATTTTTTTCTCTTATTAAAATCTTTTATTTGGTTTGTGTTTAAAGTGTAAAAAAAGGGTATAAGCTGGAATATTTGCTGATAAGGGAGCAAGGAGAAACCAAGTCAAAGAGAAACATCCATTTAAAATCAATCAAGAAGTCGGATTTCTAAAATGCCATCATCTTGTAATTATCTTGCCATCCATCGCATCTCAGTTACAAAAGATCTGGAGAGACTCGAAGTGGGAGAGCTGTGTTCTGTGTTCAGCTGCTTCAGTGAGAGCTCTCACCATCCAGCTCCTTAGAAAGCATTCATGGCTCTCCTCCGGTTAATGTCTCTCTTGATTTGGCACACAGAGCAAATAGATCCAGGAATGCCATATCGGGTTCTGTAGTGAGTCCTCATTGCCACTGTTGACACACACAAACAGCATTCATTCATGTCGGCTGCCACTTGACACCCAAGACATGTAAGGCAAAACGTCCCACAGAGGCAGACTCATCGGTCGCTGAAGCAATCACACAGGCTTGTCTGCCAGTTTGAATTTTGAGGAGCACGAACAAATCCAGGTTGAGTCATGATGACAGTTGGTGCCTGGGCCATCTCAAAAGCCCTGGTTGCTTAAAAAGTCTGGAGCAGGAAGTGTCTTGTGGTCTAGAGTGGACTCTCATTCAACTTTGTGATTTTTATGTTGACAAATTATTTTTATTTCAAAGTATAAAACTGACAACATAATAGAAAATATTCGCAAGGAACCATGTAATTATTAATATCACTTTGAGCTAAGGAATTTTTATAAATAAGCAACAAATAACCAAATACCTGACAGGAAAACTTGTCAGACGAATAGGAAAAACATATGGACAGCTAATTCTTATAGATTTAGATGGCCCTCACATATATAACAAACTATCCAATCACATACACATAAATTTTAAAATTACTAAAAAAATCACAAAGCTGGAAAACTAAAAAAATATTATGAAACACATTCTTCTCTTTCTGAGGTCACAGGAAGTAAACACTGAAATACTATTAGTAGGAAGACAATTTAGTGTATTCTGGTAGAAATTAAGTGATACCTAATAATAAAGTTACATATTCATGTATTTTTATCTCAGTCGACCAGTCATAAGAGTCAGCCCTATAGACATGTTTCCAAATATATAACACATGAACAAAGTTAATTATGTAATACTATTTACAACAGCAAAATACATCACAAAACAACTAATGCCTATATATAGCCTGTTAGAATTAACTATGCATAACACATCATAGAATACTATTTGAAAGTGTGGGAGTCTCATCATTTATGTGAGGAAACACAGCTTACACAACACAACTATTATAAACAACTTCCTGTGTTATGGGGATACACAAAGCAGATGCGGCTGTGCAGACTCAGCGTCTTTGTGCAATAGAAAGATGAGGACGAAGACTAGAAATTATACTGGTGTACAACAGGTGGGGAGTTGATAGATAAAATAGAGAAAAGACTAGACTATCTGAAAAGGAATAACACATTTCTCACAGTATCTTCCTTGTTAGTTGGACCTAGAAATCACTACGATATTTCTCATACCTTCACCTACCAGAAGAGAGGCACGTAGGCTTAGAGAGGAGGATCAAAAGTGACATGCAAGCACTAACAAATTAACTTAGATTTTTTGGTCTGAGTAACATAACCACACTCAAATTGACGGAAGAAACTATTAACCAAAAACAATTGTGAAAAGAGTATCTTGGCTACATAAAACCAGTAGATAAAGGTTACAACATAATTATACAATAGTTCTTAAAGTGTTTTTCTCCAGGCATAAGAGATATGACATTAATAATGAAATTCTATTTTCATACTGTGGGAGAAAGGTGTTAGGAATCAAACCATGGAAGGGAAAAGGTCCCTATGGTGTCTGAAATGAATTAGAATATAAATAGCAACTTGGAGCTTTTATAGTGGGAAAGATTCATCAGTGCACATGTCCTCTGTCCTATCTGCCATGATGACCTAGAAGAAATGGCCCAGAGCCTGCATATGCCACTGTACCCAAATCTTAATTCCTAAATGCCATTTTGCAAAGGAAAGAAGCTGAAGCAAGGATCCTCAAAGAATCTGCTGGCCCAAGGCCTGGGGCAGGAAAAATATGAGATAAGTCATAAACATTGTGCAAAGAATAAGGACATAAAATAATAATAATAATAATTTGAAAAGAACAGAGAAGCCATTATTAATAATTTTGAATATTTTATATTGAGACTGGAAAATTTCAGCAGTTAAGAATACTGGCTTCTCTTGCAGAGGATGCAAATTTGGTTCCCATCATTCATGCTGGGTGGCTCCCAGTGTGGATACCAGCAGCCTGAAAGTGCAGTTCCAGGACCCTAGTATACAGACACACACACACACACACACACACACACACACACACACAGGAATACATGAATACATACACAGAGACATAAACAAAATAAAATGTTTTTTTTCTTTACTTCTTTTTCCAGATTTTTTTCTCACACAATATGTCCTGATTACAATTTTCCCTCCCTCCAGTTCTCCCAGTTTAGCACTACCTCGACTCCAATCTGGGTCCATCCATTTTCTCTCTCTCACTAGGAAACAAATAGTTTTTTATGTGATAATAATAAAATAAAAACGAGCACATCAGAATAGGACAAAACAAACAAACACAAGGAAAATGGCCCAAGAAAAGGCACAAGAATCAGACTCAGACACAGAAACCTTATGGATCACACATTCATGACTCTCATAAAAGCACTAAAATTGAAGCCATAATACAGAAAAGACATTTTAATGTAAATAAAATAGAATTTAAAGGAAGGAAAGGAAAGGAGGAAAGGAGGAAGGGAGGAGGGGAGGGAGGGAGAGAAGAAAAGAGATGGAAGTTAAAGGGAAAGAAAGGAATAGAAGGAGAGGGGAGGGGAGGAGAGGAAAGGGAAGGGAAGCGAAGCAAAGCCCTGACATTGTATTATACAAGAAACCACCAAAGATGCCACTGAGTTCATTTCCTGTTGGCCATCTGCAGCTGGGCCTGCAGCCTATTAAGAGGATTGAGACAAGATCCTCTGAATGGATGGGGAACACGGCGAGGGGTGGGGGGTAGTGGAAGCTGGGAAGAAGAGAGGGGGAGAAGAGAAAGAGAGAGTAGGTCATGGGGGAACAGGAAGTTGAGTGGGTGGGGTTAGAATGGGGGGAAGAGGGAATCATAGGTTAGAAGACAGATCAGGCACCAGAGTGACCTCGAGTGATCTAAAGGGATAACACCAATTAGCAAGCTAAGCAATAGTGGAGAGACCACCTCGAATGCCCATTCCTGATAATGAACTTGATGTCTATAACCATCCTGGAGCCTTCATCCTGTGACTGATGGAAGCAGAGGCAAACACACAATTAAGCACTGAACTGAACCCAAGGAACCCAGCGGCAGAGAGAGAGGAGCGATGAGCAAATTGGCAAAGAATGGGCTGGCAAAACCAGCAGAGACAGCTGATCTGAACAGGGGAGAGCTCTTGGGCCCCAGACCAACAGCGGGGAGGCTAACATGGGACTGATCTGGCCCCCCCCAAATGTGAGTGTCAGTGAGAAGGCCTGGGCAACCTATGGGGCCTTGAGCAGTGGATCAGTGTCTATCCCTGGAATACAAACAGTCATCGTGTGCCCATAGCACAAAGAGGGATGGTCTCTCAACCTGGACTCTTAGGGGAGTGCCTGGACCCTACCCGGAGTGAAATGACAGACTCTAGATATCCCCTATGTGGAAGGATTTGGCAATAGGGTGGGAGGCTGGGGGGGAAGGGGAGTGCGGGAGGTGGGGAGGGAGAGGAAACTGGGATTGACATGTAAAACAAGCTATTTAAAATTAAAATAAAAATGATTTTAAAAGGGGGGGGTAGGCCCAAGCAAAAAAAAAAAAAAAGGTTAGTTTATATGCCAGTGAAAGTACCTTGAGGAAAAAAGCCCTAAATTTTCATTTGCAAGTGGTTGTCAATTGAAGATAGCTTCTGTGTTAGGGATGGGGGCCTATTTCTACTTGTTTCATCTCTTGGACCCTACCTGGTACAGACCTTGGCAGGCCCTATGTGTGCTGCCTCAGTTTCTATGGGAGTTCATTTGTACATTGATCCTGTTGATATAGAAGGCCTTATTTCCTTGGTGTTGTCCAGCCCCTCTGGCTCTTACACTCTTTCAACATCTTCTTCCATTGGGTTCTTTGAGCTCTTGGTGGAGGGATTTGATGGAGATATCCTCTTTAGGACTGGGTGGTCCAAGGATCTTTACTTTGCATATTGTCTGACTGTGAGTCTCTGTATTTGTTCCCATCTATTGTAAGAGGAAGCTTTTCTGAAGAGGGCTGGCTGAGCAAGGACCTGATCTATGACCTTAATAGAATGTCATTAGGAGTCATTTTATTACTACATTTCTTATAAACAGTAATATTTGATTTTACCCTAGGTTTGGGCTATCTAGTCTCAGGTTCTTGGTCATGCAAGCAGTGTCAGGTAGGGGTTACATCTTATAGATGTTGGTTAGTTACTCCCACAGGCTTTGTGCTCTATTACACTAGCATATCCTGCAAGCATGACACCATTATAGATGAAGGATTTGTGGCTAGCTTGGTGTTTATGATTCTCTTTGGGTAGCATGTGGAGCACCTCGTATACCAGACATTAGTGTATATCTCCATTTTCAAAGCTTATGTAGGTGTTGCCTTCAACAATGGATCCTTGCTATCAGTTTGTGGAGAAACACCTATAGTCTTGGCAACAGCTTGGGCTGTTTGAGGCTTCCTATGGGACACCTTTGACCAGGAACTAAATTATATGTTACTCAACCCAAGTACAAAATAAGAAAAGTCCAGTTAGGTTTCTATCTCCCTCATTAGTAAGTGATTTTATTTAAATCACTTTCATATATGGAGCAAGGGAACACTCATCCATTGTTGGTGCACTACTAAAATCAGTGTGGTTGTTCCTCAAGAAGATGAGAATTTATCTATCTCAAAATCCAGTTATACCATCTTTAAGCATACCCAAAGGATGCTTTATCCTACCACACATATACTTGCTCAATCATGTTCATTGCTACTCTATTCATAATAGCCAAAAATTGGAAATAACCTAGATGTTCCTCAAGAGATGAATGAATAAAAATGGACGTTTACACAATGGAATATTACTCAGCTGTTAAAGAAGATGAAGTCATGAAATCCTCATATAAATGGATGGAACTAGAAAAAATAAAACATTCTGAGAGAAGTAACCTAGACAGAGAGATGAATACTATATATATTCACTTATATGTAGGTATTAGTTTTGAGTAATTATAACCAAGCTACCATCTGTAGAACCACAGAACAAGGTTAGGTATAGAGTAAGCACTGTAAGGGAAGAGATAGATCTCCCTAGAAAAGGGAAATGAATAGGTACTTAAGGATGTAGGAGAGGGACTGAATTTGGAGAATCAAATGGAAGGAGAAGGAAGAAGGGAATGGAGGAGTGGAATACAGTGGAAACAACTAAAATTAAGGGAAATTAAGGGGTAATATAAAAACCTAATAGATTAGAAGCACATATATATGTATGTATATATAAGAAGGTGATCTAAAAATAAATATTGTAGGAAAGTAGTTTA